ACTGACTGTAACAGTGACAGTAACAGTGACAGTAACAGTGACAGTAACAGTGATAGTTACCCTGACACACACTGACAGTACCAGTGACAGTAACAGAGATAGTTATCCTGACACACACTGCCAGTAACAGTGACAGTAATACTGACAGTAACCCTGACAGTAACGGTGATAGTTATCCTGACACACACCAGTAACCCTGACAGTAACAGTGACAGTAATAATGACAGTAACAGTGACAGTAACACCGACACACACTGTCAGAAACAGTGACAGTAATACTGACAGTAATACTGACAGTAACCCTGACAGTAACGGTGATAGTTATCCTGACACACACCAGTAACCCTGACAGTAACAGTGATAGTTATCCCTGACAGTAACAGTGACAGTAATACTGACAGTAACCCTGACAGTAACAGTGACAGTAACAGTGACAGTGACAGTGATAGTTATCCTGACACACACTGACAGTACCAGTGACAGTAACAGTGATAGTTATCCTGACACACACTGACAGTAACAGTGACAGTAATACTGACAGTAACCCTGACAGTAACAGTGATAGTAACAGTGATAGTTATCCTGACACACACTGACAGTAACAGTGACAGTAACCCTGACAGTCACAGTGATAGTTATCCTGACACACCCTGACAGTAACAGTGATAGTTATCCTGACAGTAACCCTGACAGTAACAGTGATAGTTATCCTGACACACACTGACAGTAACAGTGACAGTTACCCTGACAGTCACAGTGATAGTTATCCTGACACACCCTGACAGTAACAGTGATAGTTATCCTGACAGTAACCCTGACAGTAACAGTGATAGTTATCCTGACACACACTGACAGTAACAGTGACAGTTATACTGACAGTAACCCTGACAGTAACAGTGATAGTTATCCTGACACACACTGACAGTAACAGTGACAGTTATACTGACAGTAACCCTGACAGTAACAGTGATAGTTATCCTGACACACACTGACAGTAACAGTGACAGTTATACTGACAGTAACCCTGACAGTAACAGTGATAGTTATCCTGACACACACTGACAGTAACAGTGACAGTTATACTGACAGTAACCCTGACAGTAACAGTGATAGTTATCCTGACACACACTGACAGTAACAGTGACAGTTATACTGACAGTAACCCTGACAGTAACAGTGATAGTTATCCTGACACACACTGACAGTAACAGTGACAGTTATACTGACAGTAACCCTGACAGTAACAGTGATAGTTATCCTGACACACACTGACAGTAACAGTGACAGTTATACTGACAGTAACCCTGACAGTAACAGTGATAGTTATCCTGACACACACTGACAGTAACAGTGACAGTAATACTGACAGTAACCCTGACAGTAACAGTGATAGTTATCCTGACACACCCTGACAGTAACAGTGACAGTAATAATGACAGTAACACTGACAGTAACAGTGATAGTTATCCTGACACACACTGACAGTAACAGTGACAGTAATACTGACAGTAACCCTGACAGTAACAGTGATAGTTATCCTGACACACCCTGACAGTAACAGTGACAGTAATACTGACAGAACCCTAACAGTAACAGTGATAGTTATCCTGACAGTAACCCTGACAGTAACAGTGATAGTTATCCTGACACACACTGACAGTAACAGTGACAGTAACCCTGACAGTAAGTCTGACAGTGACAGTGATAGTTATCCTGACACACACTGACAGTAATACTGACAGTAAGTCTGACAGTGACAGTGATAGTTATCCTGACACACACTGACAGTTACAGTGACAGTAATACTGACAGTAACCCTGACAGTAACAGTGATAGTTATCCTGACACACCCTGACAATAACAGTGACAGTAATACTGACAGTAATACTGACAGTAACAGTGATAGTTATCCTGACACACCCTGACAGTAAGTCTGACAGTGACCTAGACGGTAACCGTGACCGTAACCGTCATCCAAAAGCCTCTGCTGCAAATGGAAACCTCTCGAATGAGGGTGCACGTATTCAATTTTGTTTTTATTTATTGGATTTAGATTATTGGACAAAAATACAGAGTTTCTATTTAACCTCTACTTTAAACTTGTCAAGGTCACGGTCAAGATGTCCCGTCGTACTTACCGCCATGGTGACTTGAAGTGGTGTTTGGGTACCGCCATGGTGACTTGAAGTGGTGTTTGGGTACCGCCATGGTGACTTGAAGTGGTGTTTGGGTACCGCCATGGTGACTTGAAGTGGTGTTTGGGTACCGCCATGGTGACTTGAAGTGGTGTTTGTAAATCCGCGAAACGCAGACTTCGTGGACAACTACCACAGGGTCAGAAATGATAAAACGCGGACTTCGCGGACAACTACCACAGGGTCAGAAATGATAAAACGCGGACTTCGCGGACAACTACCACAGGGTCAGAAATGATAAAAACGCGGACTTCGTGGACAACTACCACAGAGTCAGAAATGATAAAAACGCGGACTTCGTGGACAACTACCACAGGGTCAGAAATGATAAAAACGCGGACTTCGTGGACAACTACCACAGGGTCAGAAATGATAAAACGCGGACTTCGCGGACAACTACCACAGGGTCAGAAATGATAAAAACGCGGACTTCGTGGACAACTACCACAGAGTCAGAAATGATAAAACGCGGACTTCGCGGACAACTACCAAAGGGTCAGAAATGATAAAAACGCGGACTTCGTCGACAACTACCACAGGGTCAGAAATGATAAAAACGCGGACTTCGCGGACAACTACCAAAGGGTCAGAAATGATAAAAGCGCGGACTTCGTGGACAACTACCACAGAGTCAGAAATAATAAAACGCGGACTTCGCGGACAACTACCACAGGGTCAGAAATGATAAAAACGCGGACTTCGTGGACAACTACCACAGGGTCAGAAATGATAAAAGCGCGGACTTCGTGGACAACTACCACAGAGTCAGAAATGATAAAACGCGGACTTCGCGGACAACTACCACAGGGTCAGAAATGATAAAACGCGGACTTCGTGGACAACTACCACAGAGTCAGAAATGATAAAACGCGGACTTCGCGGACAACTACCACAGAGTCAGAAATGATAAAAACGCGGACTTCGCGGACAACTACCACAGGGTCAGAAATGATAAAACGCGGACTTCGCGGACAACTACCACAGAGTCAGAAATGATAAAAACGCGGACTTCGTGGACACGACTTCGTGGACAACTACCACAGGGTCAGAAATGATAAAAACGAGGACTTCGTGGACAACTACCCCAGGGTCAGAAATGATAAAACGCGGACTTCGGGGACAACTACCACAGGGTCAGAAATGATAAAAACGCGGACTTCGTGGACACGACTTCGTGGACAACTACCACAGGGTCAGAAATGATAAAAGCGCGGACTTCGTGGACAACTACCACAGAGTCAGAAATGATAAAACGCGGACTTCGCGGACAACTACCAAAGGGTCAGAAATGATAAAACGCGGACTTCGTGGACAACTACCACAGAGTCAGAAATAATAAAACGCGGACTTCGCGGACAACTACCACAGAGTCAGAAATGATAAAAACGCGGACTTCGTGGACACGACTTCGTGGACAACTACCACAGGGTCAGAAATGATAAAAGCGCGGACTTCGTGGACAACTACCACAGAGTCAGAAATGATAAAAACGCGGACTTCGCGGACAACTACCACAGGGTCAGAAATGAAAAAACGCGGACTTCGTGAACAACTACCACAGGGTCAGAAATGATAAAACGCGGACTTCGCGGACAACTACCAAAGGGTCAGAAATGATAAAACGCGGACTTCGTGGACAACTACCACAGGGGCAGAAATGATAAAAACGCGGACTTCGCGGACAACTACCACAGGGTCAGAAATGATAAAACGCGGACTTCGTGGACAACGACCACAGGGTCAGAAATGATAAAAACGCGGACTTCGCGGACAACTACCACAGGGTCAGAAATGGTAAAAAAAACTCGCAGCTTTTTGAGAATTAAAGACATATGGCATCAATTGACGAATGTTTGCACGCGCAAAGAACAGCTTAATTTATATAATAAGATATTACAGGCGTATTAACACTAAAATAGACGTGAACAGACTTTCATTACAATTTACTGGGTAAACAAGATACAATCAACATCTATTTGTACACTAATGTATATTATGATGGAAAATATAACCCGAGATTCGAAAATGTTGGAAAAAAATCAACTCGGGGTGAAAGCAGCATTCGTTAATGACTTTTTTTCCAGCATTTTCTCACCCTCGTTATAGATTCCATCATAAATCCAGAATATCACTTATCTTACGTCTTGTTTTTCAATATCTAATATATTGAATTTAAAGTTTGTATTAGGTGATGACCTTGAACCATGAGCTAGTAATGTTAAATATCGTAAACTGGGTTACACATGTTGCAAGATTGATTATTGATTGTTGTTTTTTGTTGCTTTGATGTCAATGACGAAATAAATGTTTTCATTATTTTTATTTTCTTTAATGTTTAAGGGACAAACTCAAAACAGTCACTGAGGAGAAGAAAAAGTTATATACTTTAATATATTAAATATTTACTTGTTATTTTGTTTCGGTTATATCAGGGGATCGCTACAGTTGAATTCGGGTAATTTTTTCCCTACTCGGAATCGGATTCGCTGATTATTCCCCGATAGCCTATACCAGACAGAAAAGGAACCCTAAATTAGGGGTAATCCCTCTAGTTTCATGCTCCGCGTCGCCAGTAAAAGACTTTGCGCGACAGTTAAACTACCGATATATAGAATATTCACAGTTTAGTTTGGAGGATCACTAAATCTATGTGAATAATTGGAGAATTAATTTATTTTGAATCTAGTATCCGTCTTGTTTCTGCCTGAAAACTTGGAGTTGTCTCCCATCCTACAATTGCATTTTCCGACTTAGTTTATATACATGTGCCTTCATGCCACATAAGACATTTGACAGTCGTATACACAGTATGAAAAATTGCAAAACCACGTGGAGCCATTATTGAGGCTGTATGACGTCCTAGAATACAGCCCCCATGAGGATATACTCACATCGTCGCATTTTCTCTGCTGTAACTGACACTTTTACTTAACAAAACAGCCTTGTCACACGTTTGCGTAAATCCTCTTTGTAATTTTATCAACTGTGACGCCAGAATAAGGCAATAGACATGATTTTAATCAGTGTTACGTTACAATAAAAAACAATATCAATTACGTCATCTAGCATTGAACTGCTTTCAGTTGGCATTAATAGCGAATACGAATACCAATTAAAAATTACATTTTCAATAAAGCGCTTTTTTTTCAGTTTGCTTTCACATTGGCTATGAATACAAACTTTTGGAGCATTTCAATCTCGTCAAATTAATGTACGTATCATGTATGCTTGTTCAAAGAATATAACAGCCATCTTCAAGGAAGAATAAATGTATACAGTGTAACCACAACGACGTCATAATAATAACGAGGGTAACTATCGAGCAATGGCATGTATAGCTGAATAGTTACTGTATTTGGTAGTGGTATGTTCTTCTATTGTCATACGGTATTAAATCAGGTGGTGACATTGTATATAAGACAGTTCACATGATATCAAGGTTGTGACGTTGAAGACATGGTGTAAAGGTGATGACGTTGTAGACATGGTGTAAAGGTGATGACGTAGTAGACATGGTGTAAATGTGATGACGTTGTAGACATGGTGTTAACGTGGCGATGTTGTATATAAGATAGAACACATGTTATTAAAGTAATGACGTTGCAGACAAGGTGTAAATGTGATGACGTTGTACACATGGTGTAAAGGTGGTGACGTTATATATAAGACAGTAGACATGATGTTAAGGTGGTGACGCTGTATATAAGACAGCAGACATGATGTTAAGGTAGTGACGTTGTATATAAGACATTCTAACACGATTCGTTTGCAACGCGTGTTTTGATTGGATACGGACCATGTTCTAATCTGCGATATAATCATGATCAATCGTGTTCAGCTCCTCCTAATCCTATCGCACTAAAGCCATGCCCAGTTTCTAACCAAAACAATATGGCGACAAGCTCGCCTCTTAGCAAAATCCCGCTGATAAGGCTAGTAGGTAAAAGAACAAAACGACCGATGAAATACAGTTATTGAATGAATTAAAAAGTAAAAAGTACTCATTCCTTGTTCTTACCTCCATTTATTACTGCAACGTTCGTTCCATCCGTGTGAAGGCATCTATTTAGATCCGAAATCAAATGAAACATTTCACATGTGTCATATGCATTTATACAAAACTCTTCACAAATCTATTCAAATGAGCACCGATTTTCCGATTTTGTTGATAAGCACAGATTGGTATGCAGACTGACATGGAAATATAAGAACTTGGTCAATATTAATCCAAATGTGTCGTATAAACTTTGGTAACAGGACGTTCACGAACAATCCAAATATTCCGCCTCGTCAACATCCAGATCGAGCTCTCGCCAGTATGGGCGGGGCCAAATGACCGACTTTTGAAAGCTTCTTTCCGATTGGTCAGTCCGCTGCAGAATGACACATCGCAAGTTCAGGTCACAAAGTATTTTATTACGTACTCTTGTACAAGGAAATACAATGTGTCTAAACATATTAGCGTTGTGTATTTGTTAAGGCGTGTTAGAATGGGGACAGTACGCTGTTTTTCGTGTCTATACAGTCGATTAGAACATAAAACTTGGTTTAAACTCTCGACCTGTCGGTCTCGAGTTCAAACCCAAATTTCATGTTCTAATCGCCAGTATAGACACTCAAAACAACGTCCTATCCCCTAAGTAGACATGCTGTAAAGGTGGTGACGTTGTATATAAGACAGTAGACATGATGTTCAGGTGGTGACGTTGCATATAAGACAGTAGACATGATGTTGATGTGATGACGTTGTATATAAAACAGCAGACATGATGTTAAGGTGGTGACGTTGTATATAAGAAAGTAGACATGATGTTAAGGTGCTGACGTTGTATATAAGACAGTAGACATGATGTTAATGTGGTGACGTTAAATATAAGGCAGTAGACATGATGTTAAGGTGGTGACGTTGTTTATAAGACAGTAGACATGATGTTAAGGTGGTGACGTTGTATATAAGACAATAGACATGATGCTAAGGTGGTGACGTTGTATATAAGACGTTCTCCCACACCTGAAAGATTTATCTCCCGTTTTGCCGGTGCTAGATTTATCTGTCTCCGCCCTAGTGTTGAGACGGGGGGATTCCCCTATTCATAACAACGGCATGACGTCACTTCAACAATACAATGACGTCACGTCAACAATCAATCAACAAATTGCCTGTATGTGTTTTGGGTCCATGTTTACCTTTATTTCACATTAAAATACTGTTAGATATGGGAGAAAAATAATCAATCGCTACTGGTTGTGTAAGATAGAGAAATCTCAACCCTCGGACTAAGATTTTTTGTCCAGAACTCGGCAAGCCTCGTTCTGGACAAAAAATCTTAAGCAAAGTAAGAACCTAGGCGTTATAAGCACAAATAATTTTAATGTATAACATTATAAATTATTTAACCCCTGATTATTTGTTTAATATCATTGAACCATTCATTAATCAACAGCAAACTATTCATTACCTGCGTCACCATAGATGTTTCAATATCCCAAGGTCAAGAACTAATATGTATAAGACAAGCTTCTTTCCTAGTACTATGCAGGCATGGAATAGTCTTGATTCTTCGCTGACCAGGTGTGTTAGCCCAAGTTCCTTCAAAAGGAATCTTAAAAATACTATAGCTAATCATATTTAAGCTATTTCTGATATTTAAAAAAATTGTAGCCCATGAAAATTAAACATTATTTTGTGCCAACTAAGAAATGATGCAAGTGACTTGAATCATCATACATTTATAGATCATCTTATCCCAGATCCAGTTTGTGCCTGTGGTTCACCTGCTGAAAATACTGATCATTAATTTTTTACTTGTCCTAATTACTCTAATTCTAGGTATTTAATTCCTGAAATTCATGACCGTATTGGTTATTCCGATTCAATTCTGTTAACTTTAAGTGATAATACCCTGTCTGAGGATATTAATGAACTTATTTTAACTAATGTCCAATACTATATAAATGGTACTGAACGATTTAAGAGATTATAATATAATAATTGAATGATTGAAATTTACTAAAGACCTCTATTATTGTACAGTTTGGATATTATATATATCACTATGACATATATATATGTAGTAATTTAGTAATAATGTAGATTACTTACTTACATGTACTTAGGCTGAGTACATATCTTATATAGATGTGTTGTATGTGTGAGGGTGTGTGTGACATGTAGGCATGTGGGCATGCAAGTATGTATAAGCTTGAGTAGATGTTTACATATTTAATTATTATACATTACCCAAAGTAATCCTTCTACTCTCTGAATATTGTTTAATACTACCATCAATACTTTCATGTTAAAACCTATTTCTCTTTATATATATGCATTACTATCTATGATATCTATTATTTACTTTATTCACTTTGACTTGTATATATGTGGTACCTATTGGAGAGGACTTATATAGGCTTGCCTGTTGTCCAATCCATTTGTTTTCAAAACAATACAATTTGTTGAAATAGAAATGTTGTGACGTTGTATTTAAGACAGTAGACATGATGTTAAGGTAGTGACGTTGTATATAAGACAGTAGACATGATGGTAAGGTGATGACGTTGTATATAAGACAGCAGACATGATGGTAAGGTGATGACGTTGTATGTAAGACAGTAGACATGATGTTAAGGTAGTGACGTTTTATATAAGACAGTAGACATTGTTTCATGTCCGCACTAAATCTATAGATGTAATCATGGACGACTGACCTGATGCGTGCGCATCGTGGTAAATATTACAGACTAAACATTTGTAGCGGAACGAAATATAAGATGTGTTACATCTTTCCTCCTTTTAAAATTAAGACGGAATTAAATGACAAATTAACTTAAAAACTGAAATGACTAGACTTTCATACGACAAATTCTCTAGGTAGGAAATTATGAGTTTTTAAATTCTAGAAGAATGTTTTTTTTCGACAAAGTTCATAAAGAATTTGTCCTATAGTTTCTACTGCACAAAACTATATTGTCATTAATGGTAATTAGAACTGTTCCACTGTAATAAGTACTAATAACACTGAATTAATACTTGTACTTCCGAGCTTCACCATACAAGTATGTATGTACTGTAACTTATTGTCTGTCTTTTCAAACACGTTCATATACCACAATATTAAAACTTAAACTTGAAACTGTTTGTTTCGCGAACAAAATTAAACACTTTTACGTTAACACTGTTATTAATGAAATCATCACTTGGACAGATCGAAATCTTTAAATTTAGAAGGAAGAGCCACCTGTCTGCCTGACCTGGTCCTGATAGACATGTTGGGTGGTGCTTCAGGTGGTGGTACCAAACTGGTCTCGACATGTGGTTCCTGGGCCACATGTGGTTCCTTCTCCATTTCCACATTCGGTCCAAAATCCTGAGCTTTCGGTGTGAAAGTTTCCTTTGACAGTCTCAGATGACGCCGGTTTCGCCGATACGTCCTTCCATCCTCAGTGGTGACATCATATGACCTCTTGTTAACTTGTTCCTTTACAACACCACGTTTCCAGGTTTTCTGGTTGTTTAACATACTCTCATGTGGAGCTATTCTTACAACTTCTCCATTACCTAGAGGTTTCAGGTTTTTCGCAGTTTGATTGTAGTAGAAAGCTTGTCGTTCCTTAACACCCTTCAACTGTTTCTTTGCATTTGACGACATCTGAACTTCTGGTTTCAAAAGACTTGCTTTAGTCGGCATCAGCGTTTTTGTGCGCCTATTCATTAGACGCTGTACAGGGCTACTGTCCATACCCTGTGACGGAGTGTTTCTGAAATCAAGGAGTGCCAGAAATGGGTCTTTGTGTGAAGTTTTAGCCAACTTCATTAACCTCTTCGCAGTTTTGACTGCTTGTTCAGATTTTCCATTGCTTTGAGCGTAACCTGGCGACGAGGTAACATGATCGAATTCCCATTCTTTGCTGAAACGCCGGAATTCATCAGAGCTAAACTGAGGACCATTATCACTACACAGAATATCAGGTATTCCATGACGCGCAAACTGACTACGCAAGGCTCGGATTACCGTCTTCGATGTGGTGTCCTGTAGGTAGTCTATTTCCCAATAATTTGAGAATTAATCAACTGTAATTAGGTAGTTCTTCTGGTCAAAATAGAACAGATCTGACCCGAGTTTAGCCCAAGGCCTATCTGGTACATCATGTGAGATTAAAGTCTCTTTCTGTTGTTTTGTGTCAAATGAACGACACACACCACACTGTTCTATATAGTCGCGTACCTCAAAGTTCATCCTTGGCCAATAAACTGTTTCACGTGCCCTCCGCAGGCAACCTTCGACTCCAACATGCGAAGAATGAATTTTCTGCATAATATCTGCTCTTCGTGTCCTAGGAATCACAGCGCGTTCCCCACGAAAGATAATTCCATCCTGGACCGCAAGTTCATCGCGAACATGGAAGTATGGTTGCGCAAGAGCAGGTGTCTTTGACTTGGACTCCGGCCAACCTTCCAATATGACTTCCCTGAGAGTTTGCTTCTGTATCTCGTGCAGTCGTGGTTCCGAGATTGGCAAGGACTGTGCCATATTTACAGTCACTGTATCATCCAGCTGAGCTGTTTTGTCCCCGACATCAAGATATGCCCTGCTCAGAGTGTCAGCAAGATACATAGTTTCACCTTTCTTATACGTGAGTACAAAGTTGTACTTCTGCAGCCTTAGTAGAAATCGCTGGGGGCTGGGGACCAAACCAGCCATTATTTTTGTTGACCTTTGGCCTTGGACGGTTTATGCAAAAGGGCCGGTTTCCAAAACGGCCCCTTCTCTGATTCAAATTTCCTGTTGGTGGTGCATTGCCCATGCCGTTGTGGTCACAAATCTATAAAGTATAAAGATTTAGGTCACTTGGTTTGTTTTTTATGGCTCCTCAAAGTTGTACCTTTCAGAAGCTGTCTAAGTGTTGATAAAATGTGCATGTTATGTAAAATATTAATGAAAATCTAATCAAATGATGGTCACCGTAAAGAATACATTCATGGCATGATTGTGACAAAAAA